GCTTATAAACATTTATAATAACTTTGATATTATTTATGTCATGCACTTGTACGAGGTTATTAAATAACGAGACTGCGCGCGCAGAAGGCGTCCTAGAGGGGTAGGGTGGGAAACGAATGCAGCGTTGGATAGCTGGAAGTGTCTACTCTTTCAGTACGAAAACACGTTTTTGTCGCTGTAGTAGTATTTTTTCTGTGAAGGTTAAAAACGAACGTGTTTTTTTTCGTGCCGATAACAATGTATGACGAAAAACACGAGCAACGGATCAATGTGAAATTTCTCGTTAAATTAAACAAAACTCCCGACTGAGTGCTATAAGTTGTTGAAAGAGGTCTATGGTGAGAATTCTCTATCTCGTGCGCGTGTTTTCGAATGGTATAAAAGGTTTTCTGAAGGTCGAGAGAGCACCGAGGATGACCAACGTCCAGGTCGACCTGTCTCTGTTTCAACTCCGCAAATAGTGACCAAAATAAATGAAATTGTGCGCGTAGATCGTCGTATGAGTATTCGGATGATTGCTGAGACTGTAAATGCCAATAAAGAAACTGTCAGAAAAATTTTACATGACGAATTGAACATGAAGAAAGTTGGTCCCAAAAAATTTGACCCCTGACCAAAAGCTCGTCCGTCAACAGATCTGCTCAGATTTTCTTCAGCGGTTAGATGAAGAGCCTGAATTGATGGAAAACATCATCACTTGCGATGAAACCTGAATATTCCAATACGATGTTGAAACTAAGCGGCAATCCATGCACTGGAAAACTCCTGCATCGCCGAGAATGAAAAAAGCAAGGATGTCGAAATCAAAATTTAAAGACATGCTAATCGTTTTTTTGACATTAACGGCATCGTGATGACTGAATGGGTTCCAGAGGGTCAAACTGTAAACCACACTTACTATTTGAAACTTTTGGCAACGCTCCGAGAGCGAGTTCGTAAGAAACGGCCGGAGTTGTGGAAAAACAAATCATGGATCTTGCACCAGGACAATGCACCTGCCCATAACCCGCTGTCTGTGAAGCGTTATTTAGCCGCTAGAGGCACTCCAGTGCTCGAACACGCGCCGTACTCGCCTGATTTAGCACCCTGTGACTTTTTCCTGTTTCCGAAGATCAAGTCTGCCTTAAAAGGAACTCGGTTTGAGTCGATGGAAGAGGTGAAGCGAAAATCGGCGGAGCTCCTAAATGCTCTTACAAAAGAAGACTTCCAGCATTGCCTTGACCAATTTTTAAAATAAAACTCTTTTCATAATCAGTCTCGTTATTTAATAGCCAGACCTCGTAAGTAGGCTCACTAAAAAGATGGTGAAAAAACAGAACCTACATGACCAATAGGAACCAAGTACAATGTAAGAATTTCGGTAAATTCCGGAAATCTGAATGATGTGATTTAATCCAGGGTGGTTTTTCTTCTACTTGATATTTTGTAGCGGGTGTTATTGACCTTTTATGAAACAAACTGCGTGATGCAAAACTTCTGAATGTATGTAGAGTTAAATTACATTAGATTATATATTTTGCTGGGCAGTAATATTCCTTTAAGAACGTCTTACTAGTAATAAGTTTTCTTTTATAATATAGCTTCAAAATTATAGGTATAAAGTTCTCAGAAATGTGAATGTGGATATGACATAACGAACACATTATGCTAGGTTGATATTGTAGATAGTATATCATCTTTATTTTAATAATTCATATATAGTTAAAAAATCATGGTAATAACGAGCGTGTTGCCTTTGTATATCTAATCAAATATTCTTTCTGTAAATGCCTAATTGAATATTCAGTTTGTAATTTATTAAATATTTGCCTTAATGCTTATAATCGTCGTGATATTTTGGGTTTAGAATCATCGGAATGTACTTTAGCAACGACGTTTTTTAAGATTGGAATTTGTTTACAAATTTCCTTCGAATGGAATATTTGGTGGCATCGAGCTGTAAACGACTTTTCCCTTCATGATTTTCAATGTTGCAAAAATTACATTATTTAATTTGTTTAAGGTTGCTAAAGGTTCTGTGAACACTACTCGTCGACATTTTAGTCAAATTACGTACTTGTTCAACATAGTTTGCGCGATAGTCCGATACTTCTTCTGCTGATTGGTGACTTATCTTTTGCTAAGTTGACGACACGGGTCTCTTTCATTATGCTTATGTGGCTATTCCATTCTTTTTTCTTATTTGTGTCCGTTCATTTACACAATGTGCGTTACATTTCCTTCTGTCTGCACTTCTCTTTCGATCTCTTTCAGATCAGATTATCATATGAAATTCTTTTGCTTTTATATTAAGCCTGTGGACCAGTCTTTGTAGACTATCTTCACCTTGGACTATGAATATTGCGTCTTCTGCGTAACAGAATATTTGTATTTCTTTGTTTCCCATTCTGTATCCTCTTCCTTTGTTAACGCTTTTGATAATTTTATCCATAATCAAATTGAAGAGCATGGGCTCAATGAAGAGCATGGGGTCCAGTTCAGTATTTTTTTGGGCCATCTAGTATTTTACATTCGCTCTACGTGTCCGTACCAAGTAAGTTGTTTCTTTTCGATATCCTGAATTATCGTACCTTCTATTCCCATTCGTTGTTTTATATGGTCATTCCTCATTCTTTCTCTTCGTGAGACTCGCATAGATCTTCTTATCGCGTCTATTTCGACTGCCTCTACCTTCTTTTTTTGTCTGTCTGGAATTCTCCATGTTTCCGCTCCATACAATAGGCTGCTCTTAAACATTGTCTCGTATATATTAAATTTTCTCCTTTTTGTTATCTCCTTGATCCACAAGATGCCATTCAGACATCCTATTATCTTTTTAGCTGTAACTATTCGTTTTTCTATCTCGTTCACATCTGTTCCGGTATTGTCGAATGTGATACCTAAATATTCATATTCTTGACATTGCAGAATTTCTTGACCGTTGTCCTGCTCCAAATTTTCGCTCTGAGAGCCTACACATAGATATTTCGTTTTATTTACGTTAACTGTCAAGCCCCATTCCTTATACTCTTCTATCAGTTTTCTAATCATATATTGCATGTCGTATTTATCATTGGCCACTATGACCTGATCATCTGCAAACTGAAGAGTAAACAGCTATCTGTCATCTATATCTATACCCATTCCGTATATTTTCCTTTTCCGTTCTTAAGTGCCGCTGCTACATATATTTTGAATAGTGTAGGAGAGATAGGACATCCCTGACGTAGTCCCTTATTCACTATGAAGGCATTTGTGAGTTTTTTACCTATCTTAATTCTTGATTGTGAATTTTCATACAGTTCTTTAAGTGCAGCTATATAGTTGTGATTAATGTTCGTTTGTTCTAATACCTTCCACAGTCTCGATACTAGGACTGTATCATATGCTTTTTGTAGGTCCACAAATGTAAGATGGGTTTCCAGATGTCTAGCAGATCTCTTCTCTATGACTTGTTTTAGACAAAATACGTTGTCGGTACACGATCTACCTGCTCTAAAGCCGCTTTGATCTTCTTCTTCTTTCTCTTTAAAGTCTTCTTCAATTAGATCTCGCAGTATTCTACTGTATAGTCTGCTCAGTGTACTCGTGATTGATATGCCTCGATAGTTGTTACAGTCCAGTTTATTTCCTTTTTTATGGATGGATGATATATAAGCTGTTTTCCAGTCTTCTGGAACAGAATGTCCATTTAGGCATTTATTGATAATTATTGTTAGTTTTCTAAAGAGTTTTTCCGTTCCCCATCCCAACATTTCGGAGAAAATCCCTTCTGGTCCGCTAGCTTTCCCTAACTTAAGGTTCAAAACTGTCTTTTTTACCGTTTCTTCGGATACCTCTACTTCTTCTCCATTTACTACAAAATGTTTTGGAGATTCTATCATGTATTTCTGTCTAGTTTCTTGTAGTAGACCTTTGTAGTTTTGTATCCACTGCTCCGGTTTGATTATCTGGATATTTGCTCTGTCCTTTGCTGGGTTTTTGACATTTGATATAAATTTCCATACCTCCGAGCATTTCCTTCCTCCGATATAATTGTTAACTTCTTCACATTTCTTATCCCACGTCTCGTTCTTAGCTAAATTAATGCCCGCTCTTAATTGTCTTTTTGTTTGTTTATAATCTTCCAGATCTTGTTCATTTTTTGTTGCCAATCATTTTAAACATTTTTGTTTCTTTTCCTGAACTAGTAACTCTATCTCCTCATTCCACCCGTATTTTGTGTTGATCTCCTTTGCCTTTATTCCTACTGCTTCTCTGGTGGCATTTCTTAGACTTTCGATAACGTTCTCATAGATTTCATTTTCCGCATTTGATAGTTTGCTGTCAAGGCGCCTCTGATAAAGAAATACCGTGCTTTCATCGTTAAAACTTTGAAAATTATACTTTGTTGTACACATTTCGTCGGTGAGTACGGAATCGTTGTTATGTTCATCTTTGGCCTGATTTGTTCTTCTAAATTTTATTCTTACTTTGGCTCTTACTAAAAAATGATCTGATCCGCAAGTGAGTCCTCTCAACACTCTTACGTCGTTCACCTCTATATTTGTTTCTTGTTTACTTATCACATAATCAAGATGGATTTTAGGTTGCGGGTATTCTGTGTCCATGTGTAGCGGTGAATATCTTTGTATTTAAAGAATCCATTGTTTATTCTGAGATTGTGGGTTTCGCACATATGTATCAGCCTTTGGCCATTATCGTTGGTTACCTCTTCCCCAAATGAGCCTACAATTGGGCTATTGTTCATATTTCCCGTTCTTCCATTGAAGTCCCCCATCATTATAATTTCTTTTTTTTTCCAATATTTCCTAGGATTTCGTCAGAGAATTTGTCAAAGAACTCCTGTTTAATGTCTATGCTTTCGTCGTCTGATGGAGCATTTTAGTAAACTTGTAAAATTTTAGTTGTGAGTTTTAGCGTAGTATTTAACTTTTAATTTCAGTTTATTTGACTTTTTTACAGCATTTCTGAAAACTTAGTACCTACAAGTTATCATATAAAGTAAAAAAGTTACTTACCTCTACAACGGCGATTCCAATAGCTACTCCACCAATAATCTTCGAACTCTTTTCCAATTCCGTTTGCAGTTTAGCCGCACATCCCTCGTGGTTAACGTCATTGTTTGTACTTGGGCACTGAACCTTTATGTTGTGGCAACAACTGAGAGGGATTTTCCTGTCACCATAGTCTTCAGGTCCACGAACACCACAACATTTTAACTACAAAATTTAAATAGTTTGGTAGGGAGTCACCAATTATTTAATGTTAGTTCATCGGAAGAAATACATATAAGTTTGTTAGAAGACACTTGTTTAATATCTTTGGATAGATCGATCATAATATTGATGAATTAGCCTAATGAACCACTCACTGAAGATTTACTAACAAATACTTCGCAGCACAATGAAACATACATGCGAAGAAATTTTTAAACAAAGTTTTAAAGTAGTTTGTATAAGCAGTCACAGGTGTCCAGCGGTTGAAGGGAAGATTGGTGTGAAACATTTAAGCGTTTTTCGCACACTTCCACATACAGTACAGTCGCGTAATTCCGAACAAAAGGTCGTCCAAACAACGCGGTAGTCCTAAATGGCTCGCGCGACTCCCCCTACCTCCCCCACGATTGAATCGACATGACGAACATCGGTTTTTACCTTCCTTGTCCACCTACATCTTATTTTGTTCTGTTAGTGCTATCATACTACGATGGCTCCACGTTAACATGTGACTTTGACCATCGAACAAAAGACCAAAATTCTCAAGTTGAGCAAGTACAGCAAGGAACTGGCTACAGTTTCATTTCAAAACAGTTCGGTATTGGCAATTCTTCCATTAAGGACATTAAGAAGAATAACGAAAAGATCGAAAAATTCGTCAGCGGAAAACGGAAATCATCAATACAACAGCGGATAAGTATATACAAATCACCAAGCTTTTAGCGCATGTAAGGGTTGGTTGGACAATTTCAAATGATGTCATAGAGTTAGACATCTCAAAATTACTGGTGAGAAACTTTCGAGTAATACCGACGGCATCGGACCCTTCCGAACTGCATTTGAAGAGCTTGTAATTAAAAACAATTTGACACCTGAGCAAATTTACAATGCAGATAAAAGTAATCTTCTTGCAAATAGTCAAGCAGAGTGATAGAACTTATACGACTGATCGAAAACGAAAGTCAAATATTTGGTCTGCAATTAAACATATCAAAGACAAAGATCATGATAGTGGATAGACTACACAACAATCATCCACACATAACCACAATTGACCGGTTCGAGGTTGTGAGCTCATACTTATATCTGGGATCATTAATCACAAACACAGGGTCATTACAAGAAGAGATTAAACGTAGATCTGATCTAGCAAAAGTTGCCACAGCAAAAATGACCAAAATATGGAAGGACTGTCAAATTTCAAGAGCGATAAAGATGAGGTTGATCAACTGCTTAATATTCCCAATACTGACCTACGGATGTGAATCTTGGACTCTGAGACAATCGGAGAGAAGAAAGATAGACGCCACTGAAATGTTCTGTTGGAGACGAATGTTACGAATTCCTTGGACCGACCGCAGAACAAATAATTCAATTTTAAGAGAGCTAAAAGTTAGCCAACGACTCTCTAGTAAAGTCCATCTCCAACAATTAAAATATTTTGGGCATGTTATGAGAGCAAACACAGAAAACATGGAAAGACTCATAATACAAGGAAAGGTAGAAGGCCGAAGATCACGAGGAAGATCCCCAACAAGATGGATAGATCAAATTACAGGAATATGCCAAAGACCTATGCATGAATTAAAAGAAATGACCAGAGACAGAGATCTCTGGAGACGGACAATACACGACATCACGTCGACCACTACACTCCCCTGGGGGGTCAGGATTGAAGAGAGAGAACTTACACTGACCATATTGTTTAAATTAGAAAAAAAATTTACCGACACATCCAACTCTAAACGCATAAATGTTGCTCGATAGCAACAAAACAAAAACTATAAATATACAAGAACTTGCGCAATCTTTATGGTTCTATTATTATTTTATAAAATACACATATAAATAAAAGTTAAAAAAATATCGCGCGAAAGTTTCATATGGTAGATAGTATGTAGATAAATGTAGGGATGTGTTTTATCGATTTCAAATGAAGAATGTTGCGTAAAGGCAACATAGTGTATTTAAGGGTTAACTACACAATTGTTCCATCGAACGATAGAAAAAAAGTTTTATCCCAATTTTAGAGTCCCAAGTAAATATTATCTGATTGAATCATAGTAGTGACTAAATACTTACGAATCTCTGGGTGACTTGCATAGTTTCGTTGGCTTCCTGGCTCACATACATTTTGTCGAATGTTTCTTGCATGCTCTTAGTAAGTACGGAGTTAAACGAGTTCTTGTCTTTTATTTGTAAGAAAGCGTAAACTCCGATGGCAACTTGCAGGATGAATATCGTCAGGAGAATGATTGCATACTGAAACAAAATAATAATTATTAAAATTTTGATATTGCAGGTCATTGGATGCCGGTAATATATTATCAAAATAGTAATGCAACTTTTTTATTTTATCTTATATACGGGATCACTGCATTAAGAATCATAAAGTACAGTAAAATGTTAGGCAGTACAATCAAGCACACACCGCACTTGGGTTTACCACAAAAGTCCTAACCAACAAAATCAATACACTAACAACTTTATCAAATGAACAACAATTGTACTACTGATTGTACTAAGACAAATCACAGAAAAGACCATCGAGTACAATAAACCAGCATATCTATGTTGTATGGATTACTATATGGATAAGGATATTATAGACCTGACAAAGGCTTTTGATCGCATCCTAGTCGGAGACGTCTTACACTACTGTATAAAAGAAACATATCAATCAATATTATACAAACCATCGAAAACATCTACTTCCACAAGAAGTAGAGGATGACCACCAAGGAGATGGATTAATGATGTGGAAGACCTACAGATTCTAAGGGTCATGGAGGGAAGTTGCCAGGAATCGACTTCTTTGTGAGCAGGCCAAGGTCCACAACGGATTGTCGAATACTTATGATAATAATGAAGTAAAATGACATTAAAAAACAGCAAAAATGGCAAAGCAGTAGGTCCGGACCAAATCCAAGAAGAAAGCTTAAAATGCACAAATGACAAAACCTTTGCTAAAGACGCTAAAGACTGAAGTAAATACAGAAGAATATCTATCATTATTAAGACATGTTCTCAAATTATTCTTGAAATTAATACATGGTCGTATAAATAAAAAACTGGAAGAAAGAATAGATATTCGAGATTTCATTTTTCAGGCGCTTCTGATTCTCTAGCTCTAAAAACTATTATATTGCAGGCACGAATATTTCTTTAATTCAAAACTTTAATATTCTTTTGTTTTGTAGTATTGTGTGGTACAAATAATTTATTCGCTTTCCTCAGATAGTTTGGATAATAGCTTTAAAAAAAGTGTGTAGTAAACGAAAACCAAAACGTGCGGTTAACTAAATGTATATTTTGATAATTTGTAACAGATATGTAATAGATATCAGAAAATGCTGATATGAGGTTTAGTGGTAGTGAATCATATGACGCAAATAAGACAAAACAGCGAATTTTACCATACAAAAAGGATAAGATAAGAAACCGCGGTAGATAGATAACGTCACCACTTTTCTAGGACGCCCTACATCAACAAAATACGATGAGTTGCGTCAATATGATGATGACGTGTGCGCCAATTAATAGGAAAATATGGTCAGTGATATTAGAAGTGTTACACCAACAAGGAATAATTTCTTGAAATTAATTTTTTTGGCAACAAAATTACTTATTTTTTTGTAGTTCCTTCTCCTATCGGATGTTAGCTATCATTGATTTTACCTTGCATTATGAGAATAATATCTCATATTTCGCACCTCTGGTAATGTGTCCTAAATATTCCAGCTTTCTTGTTTTGATGTGCTTTATGACCTCGCAATCCTTTTGTAGCCTTCTTAACACTTCTGCATTTGGAACTCGTTGGGTCCATGGTATTTTCAAAATCCTTCTATAGCACCACATCTCAAATGATTCCTTTCTTTTTCTTTCTTTATATTATCCATTTGTAGTGTCCAGCTTTCCATTCCATACAAGAAAGTCGAGAACACGTAGCATCTTAAGGCTCTTATGCTCAGCTTCAGATGCAGGTCTCGATTAACAAACATTATTTTCATTTTTATAAATGCTTGTCTTGCAATTTCAATGCGTGTCCTTATTTCTCTACCTTGGTCATTGTTTCATTTACCCAGGTTCCAGATATTTGTAGTTATTTACCTTTCTACTTGTTTTCCCTCGATTGCTTCCTACTATATGTTGCTTAGAAATAATCATGCACTTGTTTTCTTACGTCATTTGTAGTCCATATTTTATAATGATTATAGCTCTAGACTGTCTGCAAAAACAGAGGTGTCGTCTGCGAATCTTATGTCGTTCAAAATTTTTCCGTTTATTGATATTTTGTATCTATTTTTGACTAATATATAGTCTATTTGATTTCTGACTATGAGGTCTTTGTTGTCTGCAGGAGATATCCAAGTGTATAATCTTCTGTTGGGTAGTTGGAACATTGTGTTCATTATTGCAAAATGTTTATTTTGACAAAAATCCACAAGTCTATCCCCTCTTTCGTTTCTGTCACCTAGTCCAAATTCCCAACATATTCGTCAACTTTTCTCTCCGACTTTAGCATTAAAGTCCCCATTACTATTGTAATGTCTTCTTTTTAATAGATCTTAAAATTGTGTCTAACTCCATGTAAAGAGTACAGAATGACTCCCTATATTTATAGCATGCTATAATAACAATATCAATGTTTTATATTTTCTAGTTTTTGTAAAAATAAAGATTTATCTTTAAATTTTCTTGCGAAGAGACCGATTTATGAAAACCATACAGAAAGTTTCAGTTATTATTCCTTAGTTTGATTGTATTCAGTGTAAGAAAATGCCTAATCGAAGACACCAAATTACAATTTTTGCCCATAGAGATATGGGTTTATGGAATCGCGATTCGCGATTTTTATTAATTTACCATCGTATTGTCTTTGTACGGCCATTCGGTTATGCGTATGTGTCGTGTGTGGACAAAAGAAGGTGGAGGAACACGAAGAAGACCAACTGGTCAACCGAGGTGCACCACAGAGTGTCGAGATAGGCGCTTTAGAGTACTGGCTCTGCAAGACCGTTTTGACACTAGCGTCAAATAACTGACCAATGATTTGGAATAGAAGGTAGACCTGTTAGTATGTGTACACTATACCGTCGCATTCGAGCCTTTATACAGGTTTCATTCCGGCCACGACTAGTACTTTCTTTGACTCCGGGAAACTCTCATCGAAGTTTGGATTGGTGCAGAGAACGGGAGCATTGGATGGCAGAGTGGCATAATGTAGCATTTAGCGATGAATCGCAATTTTGTTTAGAAATGCATGATGGTCGTAGGATGGTAAGACGCCGCCGTGGAGAGCGAAGAGATATAGGTTTGCTGTTGAGAGGCATATACACAGGACATTTGGAGTAATAATTTGAGGGGATATTGGCTATGGTAGCCCATCACCACTTGTGTTTATTCAAAGCAGTATGACAGCTGCACAATATCTTACAAACTATTTCACTGTCTTATCTAGATGGCCTTCAACACGTACTTTGTGAGCAAGACTGCGCGCGTCCCCATATTGCTCTTCGAACTATGGACTTTCTCCAAGAAGCTGGCGTTAATGTTTTGCCACGGCCACCCCGTTCACCGGATTTAAATCCTATCGAACATGTATAGAATATGATGGGAAGGAGACTGTCCACTTTGCACCATCCTCTACAGACTCTGGCACAGTTAAGAGGGCTTGTACAGAAGTGTATTAAGCTACGGGGTCGCCAAACACATTATTATTGTTTTTTTACATATTGATAAAAATTCTTGTCAACGTTATGGTTTCATTCTTGATGTAAATCTACCATGGTGTCAAACAATTAAGTTCAAGAAATTATTCCTTCTGGATGTAACAATTCTAATGTCACTGAGTATATGTTATATTTCTAGAAAGCTAATTATTGCAAAAACCGTTACCCAAAACCATCGAATAAATTGTGGTAACTTTGATAAATAGACGACGATAACAGGAAAATGAGTAGTAGGTGGTTCTATTTTTGGTTTTGTTTTCAGATATAAACAAAGTAAAAATATAATCAGTTATGTTTCAGTTAATTTATCACAGTCACAGATATTTTTACAGATATACAATTGCAGAAAAAACGTTGTTTATTGCGTCGTTTCGGTTTTTTATAATTTCTAGGTATAAATTATCTCCGTAACAATTGGTATTTCCCATGTTTTTATATAGAACTATGATAATAAACACGTATTCATATAATAATACGAATTTAGATGGTGATTGAACAATTAAAAATAATCACCCAAAATAAGTTATTTTAACTTATGTATTTAAATGCATTGTAGACCATCTATTGGCTATGTAATTTGATGTCATTTTCGTAAAGCTTTGTTGTATTTTTGCGGTGATACTGAGCGTGGAAAGTTATGAAATAATAAAAATGTAACTTATAAGCAATATTGGCAACACAACATTAAAACTCCGTTCTAGAGGCATAGAAGAACAGTATTACCACAATTTCGCATGAATATCTAAAATCAAAAAGAGAAAAGAAGCAAGAATGGATGACAGATAAAATATTGCAGATGATGGAAGAGCGAAGAAAATTAAAAGGTAGAAATGACAACGAATACAAAAAGTTGCATAAAACTATACTAAAGGAGATAAAAGGAGCAAAAGAAGCATGGCTGACGGAGAAATGTACGAAATGAAACACTACAACGCAAACATGACGATTTCCATATGTACACAAAAATTAAAGAGGACAGAACACTAGAAAACAACCCAATACAGGCATAGTTGTAGACATGAATGAAGATGAAAGAATATATGCAAGAATTATTCGAAGATGCAGCACGAAGTCCGACTGAAATAAACAATCCCTACGGCCCAGAAATAACAAACGAAGAAGTAACTATGGCCATTAAGCGGATTAAAGATGGGAAATCACCAGGACCTGATGAGGTGCATGGTGAAATTTTAAAGCTATTAGAGGCACACCAAATCACAGCTCTTACGAAGCTATTCAACAACATCTACGAGACTGGTTACTTACCAAAAGACTGGCTACTATCAATATTCATTCCACTTCCTAAAAAAGCCAACGCTAGAAAATGTGAAGAACATAGATTAATTAGTTTGATGAGCCATGTACTTAAAGTACTCCTTACTCTCATTCACTTACGCATATACACCAAATTAGAAGAACACCTGAGTGAAGTTCAATTAGGATTCAGAACATACGCATCAGAGACATGGACTATGATAAAAAGCGACGAAGAACATCGTCCGGTCTACTAAAATTAATAGACTAAGGTGG